TAGCAAAAATATCGTTAATAAAGGTGGTTCTAAGTAGGGTGGCTACATAATTTATCTTCCAAACCCAGAAAATGTATAGAATTAGAGGAGATGCTCTTAGTTATACCCATACAGTTGTATACGAAGACCGCCCTAGGCAAACTGGCTCTTATCTTAGTTAAAAGTAATGTCATATTTCATCTTCTCTACACCAGAAGCCAAACCAAGGAATTTACAAAAATCTCACTGTAGTAATAACTATTAGTTATTTCATTCTCATATTTGTTATTCTCAACTTTCAGGCAGGTATTTTCCTTATAATGGTTCAGCATGCAGGAATAAAGCGCACTTTACATATAAGACAACACAGCTATAAGGATGAATACATTCTAAAAACCAAGATACATCCTTCATTTTTTTTAAAAAAAGTCAGGATGAAAAATTGCTTACCCTGTTGCTCAGGACCTTCTGAACAGGCTCAGAATCATCAAACACAACAAAACCAAAATTGGGTAATTTCCCACCGCTGTTAATGCGAAGCTCCACAACATTCCCATAATCTGCAAATGAAAAAGATTCTCAGATAACTTACTCGAACGTTTCCTTTAAACAATGAATGTGCAGTGTCCAGTATCATAGCCACTAGACACATTTGGCTACTGAGAACCTAAAGTACAGCTAGTCCAAATTGAGATGTCCCATAAGAGTAAAATACACACTGGATTTCAAAGACTTACGTAAATACAAAAAAAAAAAGGCAGCTGCAAAAATATATTTTTTATGTGTTGAAATATTTTAGATACACTGGATTAAATAAAGTGTTATTAAAAAATTAAATTCTCCACTTTTCTTTCATTTTTCTTTTACCATAGCTACTAGAAAACTTAAAGTATGTTGGCTTGCCTACTATTTCTATTGGATGACGCTACACTAGATGAAGTTAGTTTTCAAAACTCAATAACCTACTTTGAAAGAAATCTTTAAGCTCTGATTTGTCCACCTCATGAGGCAGGTTGCCAATGAAAAGTTGGTGACTGTCAGGGTGTCTCACAATTCTTCGGGGTTCAACATCACCTTGCTCACCAGCCTCACGAACTTAAGAGGAGACAGAAACGGCAATGAAAAGACAAGAGAAAGAAGACACCTTTTCAGTGACTGTTCATATTCAATAGTTTTTCCTCTACCCTAAATATAGGTAATTCCATAAACCCTACAATATTTTTTTTTTTAGGTACACAAATATCAACTCCCCTTCCCCTGCCCCGCCACAAAATAAGCTCTCACCTCGAAATCCCCCAAACTAGAGAAATCACCCTTCTGAGCTCTTACTTGGTCTGGGTCCCCTCTGAGGAGGAATATTTATTCGCTGTTCTCGCACTCGTTGATCCCTCTGAGGCCTCTGTGGTGGAATCTGAGATTCAGGCTTAGATTCTGGACGGGGCTGAAAATTTCATAAGATAACTTTTGTGTAAAAACAAAGCAAGCTTACCGTTTTTCTTATTAAGTTTCTTAGCTAGCAATAAGGTTTAACCTAGAAAATGACAATTACCTCACCCAAAAAAAGAAATCACTAAAAACAACTTTCTACCCTTCTCCTACACCCCACATACCAGCTGCCACATTCTCTAAACCTCTGTTGAATCACATTACCAAAATACAAGTAAATTTGCTTAATATACAAGTTAATTAGAACCTTACCTGTGAAGCTGGTACTTTAACAACATGAGGTGGTATCCCAGTAACCGGAACAGCTCCACTGGGTGGAAGGTTCTTACTGGTCACAGATGCCCAAGAATATGTCTAAGGGAATACCATCAACATTAAAAAATTACACCATAGATCAAAACAACATAAAAGCTATTAACTCTTGATTTCCTGTATAACATATATGCATCACATTCTCATAGGCATTATGGAGTATACGAGTATCTTGAGATTCCTTTCTTTCGCCTACTCACAAATTTAGTACTAAAATTCCTTGGGAAGGATAAATATAGCCAAATATGAGATGCAAAAGCTACTTTTTCAATGAAGTTACTTTTCAGTCAATTTTAAGTTTGTGAATCAAAGAAAATTCTCAGGGCCAGCCCATAGCCCACTTGGGAGAGTGTGGTGCTGATAACACCAAGGCCATTGGTTTGGATCCCTACATAGGGATGGCTGGTTCACTCACTTGGGAGAGCTTGTTGCTGACAACACCAAGTCAAGGGTTAAGATCCTTACTGGTCATCTTTTAAAAAACA